GGGTAGCCGCGTGTAGTTTGCAAGAAACCAAATTCAAGATTATGTACATAAAAGTTAATCCCCAAGATTAATCCAAAAGAATATCACTCGTTCTTAAAGAAATATCAATAAAGAATCATCATCCTATTACAAAAATAAATCAAATAAACTATTTATAAGACTTACTAGGGAAACATACGGACTTTGCCAACTCCAAGAAAGAAAAACACAAGAATCGAGTCGTGCCCTGGTGGTTAAGGCCTTGCACCTTTAACTGCAATGTTGAGGGTTCGATTCCTACTGCAGACGCGGGGAAGCAGGCAGCTAAAGGAAGAGCAGGTAGCTGACCAGCAGACAGTTTAAGCAGGCAGGAGGCCTGCCATCATCAGTCACAGAGGACTAGATAAACCAAGTAAGATGCACACGCGAGTAGAGTCTCCCCCTAGTAGTACTACCCCTTCTCTAATAGGTTTTACCCCGTTGTAATAGCCTAAATACCTCTAAAGTACCAATAGATGCGGCCTCAAAAAAAAAAAGAAAAAAGAAAATTTCAGTTTGAGTCCCTAAAGTTTCAAAAAATTATTAAATGACCCAAAACTTTTCTAAATTTTGCAATCAGGACCCTAAGTGCAAACAAACCCCAACGGCCTTTAAATAAATTCTTTTGGAGCCAATCTTCCATCATCAAAAAGTACATGAATCACTAACTAAACCCATTTTGCATGATTTAAATTATGGATGATATAATGATCATCACGATTTGGAATTACACCCAATGGTCGCTCCCGAATCACATCATTCCCCTTTTCTTATTCGTCCTTGAATCTTGCAACACATAAAGATAAAGAAAGAATTGACACCATAGTCTTTTATTTTCTTTCTTATAAAACCTTGGACCAAAAACAGTGAAAAGGATATGGACTGGATGAAGAACTGCCGCCTCTCTTGAGAATAAATCCCCAAACATAAAATCTATGTGAAGCTTGTGAATATTGTGGTAAAAGACTTGGCTATTTTATTTGATCTACTAAAATGACTTGAACCTCGCACACGATATTCTTGGATACCTCCTCACGCACCTTCTGAATCATCTCCTCAGTTAGTTTCTCAGTCACCTCCTCGATCACTTGCTTGATCACGCCTTCGTTCACCTCCTTAGGTAGTGCTTGGTTCGTTTGTAAGAATTACGTATACAAAAAAGTTGCTCACCTATCTTCGCCATGTCCTTCTTCATATCCTTATAATCTTGACTTGTTTGATAAAAGCCTATCATCATGATCATCACGAAATCTAACTCGAAACTCATTTTCACGATCATAATCATCATGGTAATATTTTCTTTGACCCCTTACTCTTGCGCGATTAAAATCATCAAATTGATCTTGGCTACAAAAATTCGTGAACATCTTTCCACAACATGCAAGATCAATTTAAACCTAACTTCAAAACATAACTTTAGGGCTGAATTGTATAACCCTAAATTGATCAATTACGCACATCTTCCAGGCACTAGATAGATCAATTAATTAATCAATCAATCAACAAACAAATGTGCCCTTTGTTGATTATGCGTGTTTCTTTCGAAGTACACATATAAAACCAAACAAGCAGCTCCAAAGCCAACACTATTAGAAGAAAACGTTTAGAGGCATGGTGGAAATTGTGTGTTTATTGAATGGTTATAGTCTCCTGTTTATACAAAGAAATAGTATCCTACCAAATCGATGACATTAAAGACTAGATAAGACCAGATCAATCTAATCAAATCAAATTCCTAACATTCCTCTAACACCCCCACTCAAACTCAAGTTAGCAAAAACTTGAGTTTGCTTAATAGACAAAAGGAAAAATACAAATCATGATGCAAATTAGGAGGACATCAGACGATGAGGCAGATATTGAGGCAAGGAACCGGCGGAGAAGTGGCAGATTCTTAGGCGGAACGTCAAAATTCAGAAAGAGTCCCTAGACAGCAGAACAGAAATAGCAACAAAGCACATGAAGTTCGGAAACAAAGCAAAATCCGGCAATGCAAGTGAGAAGGTAGCAACAAAACAACACAAGGTATCAAAGCCCCAGAACTTGCAAAACCTAAGGAACATAGTCAGAGTTGTAGCAGAACAAAAATTGATAAGGAAACACCCACATCGGTGGCGGAAAAACCAGAGCATCAGGACCTAAACAACCAGTGGCGGAGTACCGGGCAGGAGAGACTAGAGAGGCGGTGGCAAAACGTCGGGGAGATTAAAACCCCGAAGAGCCAACATAACCAAACGGAACTAATTTAGCAAACTAAAACTAAGGGAAGAACAGAGCAAGAGAAACATGGTGGAAATTTTGTGTATCTTATTGAATGAATATACTGGAATATTTATACAAGAACATTGACTTTTATGCTATCAACAATACCTAAATCAAATTAAATATTCTAATCCTATCTAATCCTAATTCTATTCCACTAATCATGCTAACAAACACCATGCGTCCAATATTCGTACTAAACAGGCACCTCAATTTGCAGCCAAAAAAATCAAAACCAGGCAGAGAAACAACCAAACTGACACCTCACCTGAGTAATCGAGATTCAACCTCCTCTGTTATATAATCCTCGTACCCCTGCGCACTTTCTCATCTCAGCTCGCCGAAATTCAAAGCTGGCTAAGCAAGAAGAGAAAACCGCAGGATTTGGATGGTTAGCGGAAGATATTATTCGTCGGATACTACCTTTTCTCCGTAAGGATGATAGAGAAAAAGCTCGTGATTTATCCGAAGAATGGTCCAAAGCTTGAGATAGCTACCCGAAACTGAGGTTTAATAAGGAATTAAGGATAAATCCTCAGTGATCACAGAGGAAACAGATTCTCCGTGTCCTGTAATTTGTGAAGAAGATGAACTTCCATCAATGTTCAGGCAAAATATCAATAATGCTTTGACAAGACGCTGGTTTGGAGGTGGGATTTTGTGGCCTTATCAGTTGGGCATAACCATGAATTTCAGCAGCGTTGATGACGATGTTGCTCGGCTCGACAAATGGCTCAGAAAATGCTGTAGAAAATGGAGTCAGAGAACTGAAGCTTCATCTTTCCAAGTCCTTGTCCTTCAGGCTACATTCTTCCAGATTTTGTGTTCTTGCAGCTAAATCTTTTGACAATCCTGTCTCTTGAAAATTGCAAGTTTCCGGACTAGCTGAAGGTGCAGATTTCGCGTAAAAACATCCACACTTTAGTCTTGAAGAATATCACAATCGATAACTGACACCTTTTCTTGATCGCGGGTTGTCTTTCGATTGAGGGTGTAGTAGTTTGAGCAAAATTAAGTTGATCGAAGTTCCCCGTCTCAAAAAACTTCACATTTACTGCAGCAAAAATCGTCTTGAACATAGATTGCTGCTAGGAATCGATTCGACAAATCTTCAAACTAAGTTGCAAAGCCTGTATCATCCACATTTTGCAGTTGAATCTCCCAAAGCACTAAATCTACAGAGTATAACACTGATCCTCAACAGTTACTGAAACATTCTTAGACAGTTTCGTGAATAAGCTTCCATATCTAAGGTCCTTGATTGTCAATTCTTGTCAATGCTTTAAGAAAATGGATTTGACATTTTCTTTTCAGAGACTTCAACCGGAAGTGGAAATTAATGCTCCTGGCCTTTTTATCTTCATGGGTTCATTCAGAGCAGTTTCATCCCAAGTGAAATCTAAGATATTATTATTCTATAATTATACTATGGATATGTCCTGGTTTATAATGTTGAATTATATGCCAGAAAATTTAGTTCCATCCAAGATATCACTTCGCATCAGTGGAGGAAGGACTGTTTTTTGCTGGCTGTCCTGAGAGGCTGAGACTATAACCCTGCATTTTTGGAAAAACCAAAGGCATTTTCGCGTGGTCGAATGCATCATCAAAAACTTAGCTGATATGCAAAAACAAGACACCAAAGCAATCAGATAAAATGCAAGAATCAGCCTCTGGATTCGATGCGTTTATGGGATTTTTCATGTGATGACTGTAAAGGGAGACAGACGATTGCTTTCGAGTTAAGATGGAATTTACCTTCTAGTAATTCTACCAAGCCATGAACGACCAGAGAAGCATTCTAGGAGACTGAAAAATAACATGAGTTATCTACCCAAAAAAAAAAAAAAAAGAGTTTGTTATCTATAGTACTTAATTAAAGCAGCAAACAAAAAGGATATGTGTCAGCACTTCAATGAAAATTTTCCCGCCAAAAGCTATTTTCAGTACAAAATCATTTTTGACACGTGCCACTCTAACTAATCAGAAAAAAAAAGATGGAATAGATAAATACATAAGTCCCTTAATTATAAAATTATGGGTATATACTAATCCCGTAAAACAACAATATTTAGTTAATAAAATCAAATGTAAGGAAATTCCCTTAAATCAAGTGAAACACCAGTAATGTCTTTCCAATCCCCAATTTCAAAGGATCTCTTCCATTCCGCTCCTCTCTCACACCCGGACCTTTAAATCAATTACTTAAAATTTGACATCAATTATCAATCCATCTCTTTCTACAACAGAGAAAAAATAAGCTGTCATGAAAGAAATTTGATTTTTTATGGATGATTTTTTTTTTATTCTTTAATTGTAGATATTGGTTTATGATTTATGTAAACCTAGGCATAAGTTAACTGTTGTAAATTAAATATTGTAAATCTGGGCATAGATTTATGTGTAATAACTTACTTCATGTTCTTTCAATTGATTTTTTATTCTTCTATTTTTTTTTTATTCTTTTAAGAATAATTTGTATTTTTTATTTAATTGATTTAAAAATACAGGCGGTACCCGGGTATTCGTCCCGGGCAAGCATCTAGTTTGTTTGTTAAGAAGGTTTTGTATGCTTCTCTTGTTCTTTTCCTCTTTTTTCTTTGGAAGAAAAGAAACATATGGCCATGTATCCTTTGAAGTTTGAACTTATATAGAACTTGCAACTGTATTTGGCTCACAAAACTTCAATTAGGCTACAAAAATGATTTTTTTTTTTTTTTGTGGGTGTGGAAAAGCACTCTTATATAAAAGAAATCATACATCGTACATAGATAAGGAGGCCTTAGCAACCCTGTTCACAGATTCCACTACATTTCTATCTACCTTAACTATTTGCAAACCATTTAATCCTACAGCTACATCTCTAATATCCTGAAAAGGTGACATAAAAGAACTGAAACTTTTGATCTATTGTAATGCATTTGTACTTAACTACTGCAATCTGCCTGTAGAAGACAATGCAACGCGTAAGCTTCCGCTGGGGTGCTTCTTGCAAGCCTCCACTTGCAATGCACTCAACGCAAGAATGCAATCACTGCCAGATGAAACCACTGCCAGATGCAATGTGCTCAAGTTTTATATCTAAAACAATCTGCGATAAAAATTTTCCGATTTTGTTCAATATTGATAATACTATCTCATCTTGTTGAAAGGATCCACATACCATGATGAGCTTTTGAACAGAAATTTATACAAGAATGCATTTGGCAACCCTGCATACAGTAATTTCTTCATCAAATGTAAGAAATTCAAAAGACCTTTAAAACTGAACAAAGAAAAGGCATTGCCTGGGCTATGTGTTAATTCACCAAAAATTATATACTTGGAGCAACAAAATTCCAGCAAGATTAAATAGACCTTATGAACTCCAAAACCAACCTCAGCATCTATCCCAGAATATCAGACGTGGAGAAAAGATCTTGATCTTCAAAAAGGAGGGTTTGCAGTCCCTTGTGATTCAAACGGAGTATGTAATGTACATCTGCAAGATAAAATCAATTGTAGGGTATAAGCCGAAAGTTAACTTTCTATACCGGTTTCATGTTGTGTGAAATTTCGAGGTCTCAAAATATTGGCTCAATTCATTTCATGGAGCACAAGAATCATGAACAACACATGCAATCTTGAGGACATGAAGAAAATGAATTCCAAGAAATCCATAACGATGTTGACAATGGGCAGCATATACGATGATCCTTGTACTGGAGTGAAAATGTCATCATATGCCTGATTTTGGAGAACTTACGCTTATCATCCATTATGATTTGTGTCAGGCCAAGATTTGAATCAAACAAGAATCAATTTTGACCAAAGTGCTAATCACAAGCTACAGTTCATCCTAAAATGCAGGGCAACAACACTTCAAAGGAAGCTTTTTTACAAACAAACTGAAGAGAGCTCAAAATGCATAGAAGTGAAGAAGAGGTTTTCTTGTTTTGGCTTACTTGAGAAATCATAGTTATGCGCAAGAAAAAGAAGCTAGATTTTTAGGGAAACAAAATGGCAATGAGCTGGCATTTTTCTCCGGTTAGGCTGTTATTCACTGATCATTCCGCCTATATTGCAACTTCTTTACAGGTGGTTTCACATTTATTTTTGGTTACAGATCTTCCTTCTGCAGAAGTATACTGAGTGTCCTTCTTAGGTTTATGTTACAGCTTTCCTAGAGGCTGGTGGCCACCTGAAAGGATATAAAATGAACAAGAGAGTTTATTTTGGATGAAATCGTGACATGACTAAGGTTCTATATTGAACAGTCTCCATTTCAAGCTTAAATAAGCTATCATATGTTCACAGACAAATGGAATCAAATACACCATCAAATCAGGTTAAAAAGCATAGAAAAAAAAAAAAAAAAAAAACGCTGCAGAAAAATGCAAAAGAACTTACTCTTACACTTGCCTTGGTACTGCAAAAAAGGTTTGCGATAGTCCTATTCATGATATCAATTATCAGCAACTGATAATGACTTTTATCTCCTGTGTTTCATCACTGATTTCCTTGGCTGACACTTCCACAGATTGCCCGCACCAATGTACTTCAACCTTTTGCAGGGTAGCAATATACGCAAATTCAAATGGAATTCTTTGCAAATCCTCACAATTGCGTAACACGAGTTGTTCTAGGCAGGGAAAGTGATCATAAGAGGCATCCCATTCGACAAGATTCATGGTGTCTAATTCCAAGAACTTGAGTTCCTTGAATTCCTCTTCCCTCATGTCCCATTTCTGCCCCTGAAAGGCTCCAGCACGCAATTTCAGAACTCCGAGATTTGGTAATGCCCCAATTACAGAAAGATGATTCTCCTGTAAGCAGAAGTTTGATAAAGACAGTTTCTTGAGATTTAGTGGGAGGAGAAAATCCCCAGAAGTTGGAGCTCCACGATAACATATAATCTTGAGTGACTCCAAACAAGTCAAGAAATTCCATCTTATGAACTCACTGCTTTTTCCAGAAGAGTCCCCTGACAGCCAGAAAATGCATCTCAATTTGCGAAGGTTAGGAAACCGCTTTAATATCCTCCATCTATCCTCCCTGCAGGACAGTGATGGCGTGGAAAAGCTGACCATATTTACCAGAGGAAAATCTCCATCTTCATCCAGATCTTTTAAGTTGAAAGCGACGTGATTATTCACATGAAGATGCCTCAACCTTACCATGCTCCAAATAGTTTCTGGTAAAGTGACCTTTCGCAACCCTTTAACAACCAACGTTTCAAGTTTCCACAAGTTGGATATTGATGGTGGAATAGATTGCATATAACCACTGACAGCTAAGCATCTCAACTGAATCATTAGTCCAATTTCAACTGGAAAGCTACTTGCCATAATAGATTCCAAATCCAAAACCCGAAGTAGCTTAAAGTTCTGGCAAATGAAGGAGATATCATAAGGAAATTTAGGCTCTGAATCGTAAGATGTTGCAAAGAATATCAAGGACCGAGCTCCAGGGCCAGAAGGCTGGGAGTCATTAAAATGTCTTCTATTCACATAAAAGCTTAATCTGTAGCTTTCGAACACTATAGGTCCTAGAAGAGTCTCATCAAACTCCAAACCATACTCCGAATCAGGGAGAGACACATATGGTTCATCATGTCTGGTCACCAGTTGTAAGAACTTTTCCTCCTTTGCTTTCAGCTGACACAGATCACGTAATAGATCATGAAGACGACATGTTTTGACCTTTCCATTGGATCTTGTTCTGTATATGCTCACCAAGCTTCTATTAATCAGCTCCATCAAGTAATCCTCTGCAACCTCCTCCAAGCTCTTTGACTCGGTTTCCAGCACGAACCCTTCTGCCACCCAAATACGTATCAACTTGCTCACAGGAATTTCTTTGTCCTCTAGAAAAATTCCCAAATAAATAAAGCATGCCTTTAGATTTTCAGGCAAGTGCTTATAACTCAGTTCCAAAATTTCATGGCAACGGTTTTCTGGGTTGCTGATTATCTCCGAGCTTAGACTTTCAGAGATTTTTTTCCATCGATTCTTCTCTTTTTCTAACTTTTGAAGAAGACCAGCTATTGCAACAACTGCAAGTGGTAATCCTTGACAATGTCGAGCAATCTCCATTCCAACTTCTAACAATTCTGCTGGACAATCTGCACCCATAAATATCTTGTTTTCTAACAATTTCCAGCTTTCAATGTCCGAAAATGGACGCATAGGATGCGGATCACTGTCAGGTTTGATTTTAACTGCCACATCCTGATGACGACTAGTTATCAGAATTCTGCTGCCATTGCTGTCGTCTGGAAAACAAATCTTCAAGTCATTCCAGGCTGCAGTGTCCCATAAGTCATCCATAACAATGAGATACTTGTTTCCCAACAAGTACCGACGTAATTTGGATAAGAGGTCATCATCAGTCAGTTGATTAATGCCATCAGTACGAACAAGAATATGGCTTAATAGTTCCAGCAATAACTCCCTTTTCGAGTATGTTTGCGAAACAGTACACCATGCACGACGACGAAAATGACACGTGACATTCGGATTGCTGAACACTTTTCTAGCAAGAGTTGTCTTTCCAATACCAGGCATGCCAACAATTGAAACAACATCACGCTGTGAGGATCCTCTGGTGAGGCGATCAACAATAACCATATCTTCGTCAACAAGATCAACAAGCATCTCATTGATTTCTGGTGCAGCGAACTTTGGTACAATGGGCAATGAAACCTGTGGGATAATGTATTCTACTTCGCCAGAATAGGACATTTCTTGAACTTTGTGGATCTGTCGTTCAATAAGTCTAATATCATCCAGCGCATCATAAAACCATAATAAATGCTGCAAGGGACCATCAATCTCAATTGACTCCACAACATTTTCCAGTTTATATGCCACATCTATGATGTGATCCCCAAGATCCTTCAATTCTCCCAGCTGTACATCTGAATCCTTTACCTTAGCAAGGAAACATTTCAAAGACTCCAGATGCAACATAACTTCCTCAAAATGATGCATCACTGGTGTAATTGACTTGGTATCATGTTTCAGAACCTCTCCTATATTTCTGTGGAGGAAATCAAGAAACCCCAATCCATATGTCATGGGGAAGATTGACTTAGGAAATGGCTGATTCATTTCCCTGAGCTTAGCCTTAACAGTGTTCACCTTCTCCAACAACTGAGGCAACGAATGTGCAATTTTCTGAAACTTCTCGTCAGGGAGATACAAGTAAGAGAGAAGAGTTATCCCCCTCACAACATCTTCAATTTGTAATATGATTGCTTCTCCATCAGATGTGCTCCTTTCTAGCTTAGCTTTTACAACTATATTGAAATAAGTAAGTTCTTCAAGAAGAGACTGAATTTGGCCTTTCTGAAGAGCTAAAGAGGTTTCACTACTCTTCAATAACTCAGTTAAAAATGACTCAGCCTTGAAAAAGATAATCCGGCAAAGTAAGTGCAGAATTGACTGTTTCACCAAAGGATAAATGATCCTCTTGGATTGAAGTAACTTATGAAGGGATTCGATGGCATTCGCCAATTCTTCAGTGAGTTTCAAACTTTGCTTCACGTATTCGCTGTTTCCAGGCTGACAAAGATCTTTGTTAAAAGCTCTCAGGTCGACGAGGATCATACTGAGACTGAAAATTCGGTCATCTTTGAAAAGTATCAAGGGACTCTGAGAGTTGAGAAAAACCATCGACTCTTTGAGATTTAGCTCTGCCTTGAGGAGACAAATTTTTGTGAGTAACACAGAACAAGGTGAGAGATCCCGTGGCGCCACTCGATGGTAAAAGGCGGCCTCTGCTACCACTGCCTTAATCTCGGAAAAGAAGTTATGGACATCCACACCATCCTTTAGGGTATTGCTGAAAAAGAGGCTAAGTAGGGATACCAGCTCCTTTCTAAGATCTTTTTCATCAAGCCAATTGAGAAGATACACGCAAAAGAGTCTTACAGAAGCAGATGCAAATGCATCATTTCTTTTAGAGTTGATTCTATACAGAGACTCAAGGAATCTGAGATTCAACTCTAAGAACTCTGGATTTCGAGGATCAATCTGGTGATGCTCGCCTAGAAGTCCAGTAACAATAACAAGTGCAGCTTCAGGGTCTTTCATATTGAACCAGAAATAACATGATTGAACTGCAATCCTCAGAACCACAGATGCAACATGATTAAGAAAAGAATCAACTCTCGGATCACCATGAACATTGGCAGAGCTTAGACCTCTTTGAATATGATTCAAGTACCGTTGGATGGATTGCATTTCACTTCCGAGGAAAAAGAGCTTTTCATTCAGAACACCATCATCCAAAACCTTAAAGGACTGCAGATTCTCCCCCACAACAGGGACAAACCATTGCCAAAAAAAAGAATCAGGAGAACGTGAATTGATTGGTAACCTTGACAATTCCTTTGCAATATCTCGAGCCTCTGCCTGATAAAGCTCATCAGTCTTCCTTTGGCAGTCACTGAGCAAACTGAGCATTTCATCAGGGCGTGTCATGTAGGACGCATATTGTTTTGCACAGGAACATAGAGCAGCATCAATCATTCCTCCCACAACAAGTGCATTAATAGAGGTGGCCAGTAACACTTGGTTCTGCATAACTAACAGCTCAGCTGCATCACTACTGTATAATATGGATCTCACAAGCATGTCCAAGACAGCCCAATCCTGTTTGAGTTGATTGACCTTCTCAATGATAGGCCCCGGCACCAGATCATTATCAATGGTGAGCTCTAAAAACTGGCGAGCCGAATCCCTAGGCTCTCCTGATGTTTCCTTCTCAACATTCTTGTGCCACTGAATCATCCACTTCAGATTATTCAGAATCTCGCCCGCATACATTGCCATGGTTACTCCCCAGTCGAGTAACATCTCTTCATTACCCTGAACCTCATTCACAGAAGCCATACTTCCTAGAGTTCTATGAAGTAAATCAAGCAACAGTTAGGAAGAGCAAAATCAAGGTGAATAATATTGCGCAAAACAGAAGCTAATTAATACTCCCGCCTACTAAACAAGAGCAGATGAAATGGTTTACAATCTCAAAACCCTTGAAATCTTTGAACTGATAGATTACATAAACAAAATACCTAGTACTTTCCAGTTTCCACTAAAGTTAAAAGTACTACTCATCAAAGAATGAACTCAGAACACAAATCAGACTGGGTTTCCTACACAATTCTGATGTATACACCATACATTCAATATATTCATTCACACGGTTCAAAACCAAAATGATTAAACCACTTCAATGTAAAGAAAGAAAGTACAAACTACAAAGTTCAATACTCGAACTGAAGCATTTAGCAGCTTGTTTGAGTCTAACCTGGGACTGGGAGTTATGAGAGTAATGGGGAATTCAAGGCCTCATCATCTGAACAAAGATTGCATCTTTTGGGAAAGGGCAATACTACCTCAATCAGTGGCAAATGGGAAATAAGAACACCATAGGCGTAGCAGATGGAGTGGAAGTTGACATTGCTGCTTTTAACTTTCCTTCCTTTCTCTAGATTCTTTTATAAAGATCCATTTTATTTTATATGGCCACCAGGTTATCCATTTGAGTTTTCTTTTTCTTTTTTCACTAGTAATGTTAGTCATATATTTGGATAAATTATTTGAACTTTTAGCCAATTCATCCGATTGACAAAATTCTGTCAAACTTAATAGATTTTTTGTTATTTTCTTTTTAAAAAATAATAAATACAATAACAAAAACGTTCCTATAGTTCCAAAAAAATGCGACAAAATCTCCGGAATATGTAAAAATAACAAATCAGTCTTTTTTTTATTTTTTATTATTACAAGATGTGAACCCGTACGATGCACGGGATAGAAAAAATTGTCAAGAAAACACTTTTTCTAGAATTGAAAATAATTTTTCTATGGCGGTCATTATTTTACTCGCTCCTCCGTCTTAACCACACATTAAAATTTTCAATTATTTTTTTGATATTACTCTGGATACAGCATCATATAACTGACCTTAGTTTAAAATTGGACATGACAAATACAATATAACTTGAGAAATTGATTGTCCATGTCTCTTATTAATCGCCATCGGTAAAGGGCTTGTCCGAACATGTCCAATTGCGGGCCCAATATCTTGTCCATATTTCTAACATTATTAATATCGTGGGTTCAAAATCTCGTCTGTAATCTCATATTGACGGTCAATCTTAAAACTTTGTAGTGATTCCACATACGCGAAAATTTTATTGTTGCATTGTCTCTATATTGCATGTTACCTTTTTGAATCACCAAAAGAATCTATCTGGAGTCATCTCCTAAGATACAACTATGAATCAACAAAATTAGATTACATCCTTTTTAATCACCGAAAGAATCAACTACCTAATTGCCAAAAGGCGTATCAAAACTTCTTGGATAACAAGATTGAAAAATATCTTTCAATGAATTATTAAATTTTCAAAAAAAAAGTGTTTGTGAACCATCGGTATTTTGTCCCAGATAATCATGCTTTGCACGTCTTAACATGACAGAAAAATCACTGTATGGTTTTATCAAACATAGGGTTTGTTTGGGCAACTTTTTATCTTTGTTTTTGTTTTGAGTTTGGGAAGAAATTTAAAATATGGTATGAGTAGAAAATTAAAAATTTACTTGGGTAGTATTTTACTATTTTAAATAAAATAACATTAACAAGTGTTGGTTTTCTTGTTTCTCGAGTTTTACACTTTGAGTTTGAGTCAAAAACTTTCTTTGTCAAGTGATGAAGAATGAGTTTTAGTGATATCAGTTTTGGTATCAAAGTGTTTAAGGTCTTTTGAAGTTGAATTGTGCCAACTTTAAGGATTGAAATCTTTGACTTGTGTTCTAAAACCTTGATTTTCGAGAGTAAGGTCGAAAATTGAGAGAAGTTTTTCTAAAAAAGATTTTCTTAATGTATGACAAGAAATCTTATAGGTTTTGAGATGTATTCTCAAAGTTTACATATTTGGTTGTTGAAAGATTGATTTTCAATGGTCACTTATGAAGATGGCATTGTTAAGTCATTGAGTTTTCAGAATGATTTGTGTTGAATTTAGTATTATGAAGCAAATGTCATAATTGAGTTATAATTATGGTGTTCTTGTTACTTTATTTGCCATGGATTGTTTTGGTAAAAAGGTGATTTTTGTTAATTTCAAGTACAATTTGGAAAAGGGTTTTTAGAAAGATTCTAAAAGTTGTTGTCCATTTTTGGAAAGTGGTAATTTTCAAGTTTCCTTTTTAAGAGTCAAAAGTAATTTTTCAAATTTTAACTATTTGGTAAAAGGTTAATGGCCGAAATTTTGCTGACTTTTTGCATGTGTGTGCATGTGATTTATGTGTTATTCTAAGCCTAGTTGGTTTTGAATTTTAGTAGTATAGCCGAAATTGTGAAGCTAAAAATTAGGTTTTCCTAGTTCTAGTTGAACTTGAATTTTGGTTGTCTATTTGTGTTACACTTGGAGACCTATTTGGTCTTGTATTTGTGTGTTCACATGGCCGAAAATTTTAGCTCTAAAATTAAGGTCATTGAGTCCAAATTGTGTTATGATTTAAGTCCTATTCGGTTTTGGATTTTTTGTGTTCACATTGGCCGAAATTTGCAGCCATTGTTTCCTAATTGTAATACAATTTTATTGTGTGTTTTATTTAAGTCCTACTTGGATTTAAATACTAATTTTTGCATGTGTTAAATTATAATTTCAGTGAGATTATAATTAGAGTTTTAAAGTGAGTCTATTTTCGAAAACTATTAAGAAAAGGAAGCCTTATCCTAATCTGAAAATTTTTTTTAGTCTTTTAATACATTTGGGCAAATTATCCAGTATACCCGGGGGCACCGTGCCCCCCTCCTATTTTTTGCACGAGTAGTCCTTATTGTACCTTTTTATCAATCTTTCAATATTTTGCAAGGATAGTCCCTGTGACTTTTTTCCTTCTCTTCCAAAAAAAACAGCTCTAATCTTTCAACGAGCATATCTCCTAATCCGTGAAGAATTTGTGAACGAATTATACATGAAATTTATAGTACTCGTCGTGATCTATCCAATGAAATCCATTTCGAATATTTTTTTTGAGTTTAAAAATGACTAAATTTTGATGGGCAGAATAAGTTGGATATCCAGTAAGTTGGATAACCAGTATGCACGAGTTGGATAACCAGTATGAACACAGTGGATAACCAGTTCAAACAATTTGGATAACCATGTAAATCCATTGGATAACCAGCATTAGCACATTCGATAATCCAGTACAAACCAATGATTGGATAACCAATACAAACGAGTTGGATAACCAACTTAGTTAATTATTTTTTAAAGAAATAATAAAAAGAAAAACCATGTTAGATAAATAATACTAATTAGTTGGATAAACAGTATTAACATAAATAATCAAGATGGATAACCAACTTATTTTACATTCATATTATTCCTTTCCTTGTATCTAATGATTCGTAAAGAATTATAACATGAATTATATATGAAATTTATAGTACTCGACGAGATCTATCCGATAAGATCCATGTTGAATATTTTTTTTGAACTTTAAATGCATTTAAATTTTACGGGCAGAAATGAAGAAATGCGTTTTTTGTTTTTCTTTGAAAAATGGTTATCCAATCGGTTTGGACTGATTATCCATTATGTTCGTACTTGTTATCCAATCATATGTTTGACATTCACTCTTCAAAAAAGAAAAAGAAAAGATGGATATCCACCTCTATTCTATTCTGCCCGTCAGAATTAAGTCATTTTTAAGCCCGAAAAAATGTTCACTGTGGATTTCGTTGGATAGATCTCGACGAGTACTATAAATTTCATATATAATTCGTTCACAAATTCTTCACGGATTGGGAGATATGCTCGTTGAAAGATTAGAGTTGGACATGCATGAACACAGTGAATATCCAGTACAAACAAGTTGGATAATCAGCATGAACACAGTGGATAACCAGTATTAGCGCATTGGATAATCAATATGAACATATTGGATAACCAGTTCAAACAATTTGGATAACCATGTAAATCCATTGGATAACCAGTATTAGCGCATTGGATAATCAACATGAACACAGTGGATATCCAATTTGAGAAGATGGATAACCAACTTATTTCGCATTCATATTGTTGTGTTCCTTGTATCTTTTGATTCGTAAAGAATTATAACACGAATTATATATGAAATTTATAGTGTTCGACGAGATCTATCCGATAAGATCCATGTTGATTATTTTTTTTGAACTTTAAATGCATTTAAATTTTACGGGCAGAAATGAAGAAACGTGTTTTTTGTTTTTCTTTGAAAAATGGTTATCCGTTGTGTTCTTACTGATTATCCATTATGTTCGTACTTGTTATCCAATCATATGTTTGACATTCACTCTTCAAAAAAAAAAAAGATGGATAACCACCTCTATTCTATTCTGCCCGTCAGAATTAAGTCATTTTTAAGCCCGAAAAAATGTTCACTGTAGATTTCGTTGGATAGATCTCGACGAGTACTATAAATTTCATATATAATTCGTTCACAAATTCTTCACGGATTGGGAGATATGCTCGTTGAAAGATTAGAGTTGGATATGCATACAAACCAAATGGATGGATATCCAGTACAAACAAGTTGGATAATCGGCATGAACACGGTGGATAACCAAGACAAATAATTTGGATAAGCATGTAAGTCCATTGGATAACCAGTATTAGCGCATTGGATAATCAATATGAACACATTGGATATCCAGTTTAAGAAGATGGATAACCAACTTATTTTGAATTAAGAAGTTGGATAACCAAATGGATAAGCAGTAAAAACAAAATGGATAACCAGTTCAAACTGATTGGATAATCAGCATGAACACGGTGGATAACCAATTTAGAACAAGTTGGTTATCCAACTTGTTTGTACTGGATATCCAACTTAATTCTGCCCAAAGAAATTTGATCATTTTTAAGTTGGAAAAAAATATTGGATATGGATCTTGTTGAATAGATCTCGACGAGTACTATAAATTTCATATATAATTCGTTTACAAATTCTTCACGGATTAGGAGATATGCTCGTTGAAAGATTAGAGATATTTTTCTTGGAAGAGAGAGAAAAAATGACAGGGACTATACTTGTAAAATATAGAAAGATTGATAAAAAGTACAATAAGGGCTAAAAATGCAAAAAAAATAGGAGGGGACATGGTGCCCCCGGGTATACTGGATACAGACTCTACATTTGTGCATGTGTGTGGCCGTGTATTTGAGTCCTTTTAGTAGTAGGGGGGTCGAAAATTTTATCTCTAATAAGTAGGGATGAGTTTTCTTAATTTGTGTCCAAAAAAGATTATGTTTACCTAAGTTTTAGGACTCTATCCTTGTCTATATATATGAGGCCGGTTTTTCTTCTTCTTTATCCCACATTGTCGAGCAGCCTTCATCAATTAGGGGGGAATATTTTTGAGAAAATTTAGGTCCTATCTTGTAGGAGTTTTCTTGCACAAAAAGACTTGCATTGCCTATAACTAGGAGTGCTGTTTTTCGAAAATTCTCACATCACTCTACTCCAATTTTCTTCTTCTTTCTTGCTGCCGAGATCAAAAGAGAAAAACAAGAGAAGCACTCTTCTCTTTAATTCTGAAATTTTTGAGAGTTGTGTTCTTAAAAGCACAAGAGAGTTTTTGTTTTTGGGGAGAGCTTTATTTGAACCTTCCTTTGGTTCTTGGGGGAGGGTTTTGGCCGAACCATACTTTGGTTCTAGGGTTCAAGGAGTTTTTGTGTAGTAAACAAGGCACATTACTTCTTTTGTTGGTGGATTCTCAAGATTGTTGAGCAAAGATGTCATCTGGAGTTGCTGGTTGTACACAAATCGCTTCAAAGAGTGTAGAGGGTCGCATGGAGGCTCAAGTACAGCTCATGAAGAGTCAAATTGACTTCCTACATGAAGCTTTGGCCGAGGTTAAGGAGGCAAACCGAGACTTGTCTCAAATGCTTTCAAATCAGCAAGATAAAGCTACGGTAAGTTTTGAGAAAATTGCTGAAAATTTAAGAGTCTTATGTGATCGTTTTGAAGTTAAACAAGTACCCTCGTATGCTGGAATGTTGCAAGTGTCATTGCCTTTGTTTTATGGTTGTCATAGAGAATATGATACTTGGGAGAAGAGCATAGAAAATTTGTTTGTGTTGCTTAACATAGAGAAAGAGAGTGAGAAAATAGCCTTAGCTATAGATTGTTTTCGTTCTAATGCTTTGAATTGGTGGAAGCTAGTTTCAAATATCTATTCACATCATTGGTTTCGTAATTTGGATGATTGGAATGATTTGAGAAGTGCTTTGCGAGAAAGATATGCTGGTACTAACACCTTTGATGAAGCAAAAGTGAAGTTGCTCAATTGTAAGCAGAATGGTAGATCCATTCAATCTTACTTTGAGGAATTAGAGGGTTGTTTCGAGTTCGAAGTGGATGAGAACGACTACATGTTGACAGACCGTTTCCACTATGGCTTGGACAAGTGTTTCAAACAACATCCAAAGATAAGGAGACAATCAAGGCTCTATGAGGCATACTATGCTGCCTTAGAAGTGGAAAGAGAGCATGATACTTCTTGTGGTTGGAATGGTCCAATTGAGGATCAGGGGTTGGTGTTTGGAGCTGAAGATGGAGATCAACGGACTTGTATCTTCCGTACTAAGTGTTCGGTTGGGTGGTCCAATGAAGTTGATTTGGTAATCGACGATGGGTCGAGTACTGATTGTGTAAGTGAGGAATTTTGCATAGCAAACGGAATTAAGATGGATCCGCATACTAGATCATACAAGCTTCAATGGTTGAGTGAAGAGATGGTTGTGGATGTTACTAAAAAGGCCATGGTACCTTTTCAGATTGGTAAGTATAGGGATGAAATTTACTTTGATGTAATTCCTATGTCTCTTTGTGATATTTTGCTAGGTAGGCCTTGGCGATCGGATGTAGATGCTGTGCACCATTGCTCGAAGAATATCTTTGTCTTTACTAAAGAGGACAGAAAATATATTCTTAAGCCTTTGGCTTATGAAGAATCGAATCATGCGAGAGAAAAGACGTAAGATAACCTATACACAAGGGAGAGAAAAGTCTAGCGAGTGACGCAAGAAAGTAAAAAGGGTCACGATGAGGTAAGACTTGAGGCGAGAGAAAACCATGAAAATAGCGTGGAAAAGAAATAAATGCACGCAATGAGAGAAAATCGAGTGTGGTGAGGGTGAGGATTTTACTAACCCTTATATCTCGTTTGTTCCTTGTGCAGTATAGAGGTTGATGATTCGAGAACGAATCCTCTTAAAGAAGGAGGGGATGATGAGAATCATGTAGCCTTCCATGGAGGTTCTCCTAGTGAGGGAATGAGTTAGTCCTTCATTCTAGATTTGGAATGCCAAGTTTACTTTGCGGGCCAATCAAGGAAGAAAGGATGGATCTTGACTACCTATGTGATAGGGAGTTGGTTCAAGAGAGCTATGATCAAGGTGATGAGAATGTCATTAACTTTGGGGTGCAAACCAAAGGAGATGAAGACCTCATGGAAATAAGTCTTGAAGAGTATCAAGAGAGTTTGACTCTGTGTGCTCTATGAAGATCATTGATCAAAGCTAGTGAGAAGAGTCATTTAGGTTCATGAGTGGACGGCCTATTTGATCAAAGTGTTCAAGATTGAGTCCATTGCTACACAATTGGATAGGTTGCAAACTATCTTAATTGTTTCAAGTGTTTTTCCAATCTTTTGGAGTCAATAAGGTGAATTCTACAAGTTTTGGAGTAAATTGGAGGTTTCTACAACTTAAGGGGCGCAGGACCAATATTCCACTTTTGGAAGGGCGTTCAAGACATTTTACTTCAATAATTTGGAGCTGAATTTCGAGATTAGAGTCATTGTCTAAGTCTAGGAGTTATTTTCGAATTTTATCTAGTTAAATAAGTCATGTGGACTGAATTAAGCTAGAGTGTTTTGATTAGGAGTCTTAGATTCCTTCTAGATATTATCCTACTTGAGGATAAGTGATTTAGATAAGGTTTCCTAGATTTTAGATAGAGTCAAAGAGATCAAGTACTCTTCTATTTTTACTCCTTGTGAGATAAGATTAGAGAGTCCTAATTGGTCTTCTTTTTAGAGGTCTTGTGAAAAATTCAAGCCTATATATAGGAGGCTTGGCCGAATTTTAGAAGCACCCTTGAGTGGTCATTTTGTTGTCTCTTTTGAGAGTTTTTCCTGTGAGGAATTTTTGTTAAATGGAGTGTCCATTTTTCGTGTCAAGTATGATTAAACCAAGAGGGTTTTCATCTTGTCTTGGATCTTTTGATCTTGCGAAACCATTCTTTTCAAGTATGCTTCTTGATAGAATTGTTTTAAAACTAAACTTCTTATTTTCATACTACTTCTAGTAGTTCGATTGATGAGCCTTTCCTTTGGCTTGGTGTTCGAATTTCATGATGAGTGTGTTCATGAGATCCATTGTGGGGTTTGTCCTACTTTTGTTAGATGAGTTGTGCTTTGGCATAAGCATTTTGAGATAGTGTATGTGTTGCATATCTTTGGTTGGTTATGAAGATTACTAATCAATAGTATTCCTTCATAGTTGGGCATTGTTTGCTCCTACCTTTCTTGAGTCTCTTGATTAATGACTGATCGAGTATATTGAATGGTGTCCTTGCTATTCTTAGCGTGGGTTGTTGTTTAATTCGAATCTTTCATGGATAATGTGTTCTTTGCTTGGTTTGAGTTAAGAGATAGAATCACTTAGATAAACGATCGTCTTACTGTGAATTTTCCGTACTCTTTTGAGTTTCACGGGATAGACAAAATTATCTTCGTACTTTCTTGTTGATGGTTGCATTAACGAAATTTGCTTCGTCTACGAGATTGCTATCATCTTTCCTAGTGATAGACCAGGGTTCGATTCCCACCATGGGTTGTAAGGAGGGGGGGGGAGGGTTTACCCACATTTAAGTAGGGTACACTGGGGTGGATTTTTTATTTTTTTATTTAGAAAGAAACAGCTTCCTCTACCATAACTGTAATGGGAGGAAATATAAATTTCAATCAAGAAGAATAGTCAATAAAACCTACCAGGTGTTAGGAAAATGGTTTACCTCCTCAAACAATTACACCCCCTCCCCCCAAAAAAACTAAATTTTACCTGTGTATATAAAATTCTACATTAGCCGGAACAAATTTTATGCAATAGTTACAATTCTTCTAAATTAAACCATGATTAGCGAAGACTGATGTGTGTCGAGACCTACAAAATAAACCTGCTTAAAACTTGTAGTAAGTGATAAGAAGGATCAATCCCACAGAGACAGGAAACACTTGATGAAAATTGAGATCCAGTACTAGAACACAGAACAGAAGTAAAAATAACAAAATGGCAAGTGAGTTTATGACTTGGCAAAGTGATGGTAGCCTAAGGTCGTCCTCTACTCTAATCTATATGCATATGTATTGATTTTTTTAGCTCTCTATGTAGTATGAAACTGTATTCAATCAGACACATAAACACCGTAAGGTCATTTCCGACATTTCAGACAGCAGTCCTAATAATAACCAGTAAACTAACTTTCGTTGTCGACTCAAAATTACTACTAAGCCATTAAAACCTTCGGCCCTTATGATTACCTCGTGCCAAACAACTAACTTCCGTTGTTGTTTGAAACCTTGGGCTGTTACCCCCTCGTCACCGGTTAATCCTAAACGTTCTAAGTTAGGTTTACCCTTCCGAGATTCTCCTAACATGGAAACTCAATTAGTTTGAATGACCTGTTCAACCTAAAAGGATAACTTAAACTCTAAAACTAAGCATACAAATATCATCCGAGAGCATGAATCAAAACATAATTATATAGAGTAGAGTGATTAGACCCTTGAGATGAGTTTAGCTACTCATAGAGTGAGTTCAAACACCACAAAGTTCAGATGTTGAGACTCCATCCTGATTATAGAAAGAGAAGAAAACAGGAGAAGAGTAAAGTCCGGGAGTGTGGTAAAGTGCAGCTGACTTTGCAGAGTCAGCTTCTCACTTCCCCAAGTGATATCTCTGAGTCTACCTCCCAGAATTATACTCTGTTTCCAACTAACTGAACTAAAACTACAATCTACTCTACTTCTAAGTGTCTTCTGGTCTGATTGCCTTTATCTTCAGCTGCTGCTGCTTTTTATAGAGGTTAGGGGGAGAAATCTTGCTTAGCAATGTTGGTCTCCTCGTTACCCGATGGGTTTTAAGTAAAAGAGAGGAGACCGATAGTTCCTCCAACTTCCCCCTTATCTCTAATCATGATTTGGAAGGATTTGGTTGAGCAAATTCAGCTTTAAGGCACGTCAATCTTCTTCCAATATCAGCAACATCACTTCACCAATAGCTATTCTTCCTTAGCTTCGAAGGATTCCTCCAATTTGGCTCTCTTCCCGTCGGATTCTTCCTCTTCTTTCAGCCCTTGCACATTGGTCCTGCAGCTTCTTCCAATTTGGCCCGAAACTTTACCATTCTGCCACATTTTGACCATTTTTTGCTCATATTGTATTTCAGCCCCTGGATTACTATAAGTCACCAAATTAGCTCATAAACATATAATTCTAATCTAATTGACCTATAATTAAAGTATAAAGAGGTAAAATTGATGCCTAGAAACGTAGTACGAAATGCACTCATTAAGGACCATATGTCTCCTTTCTCTACAAAAAAAAAAAAAGAAAAAAGAAAAAAAACATTAAAAGACAAAAAATGAAAAGAGAAGCAAAAGAATTTGGAGGTCAATGATACATATCTTAATGCAACAACACAGGAAAGAACTTAGTATTGAAATATACAACACCTCATAAAAAATAAATTTGGATCCTATCTCAGATATTTTATGAATTATCGTAAATAAGGCCTCCTGTTTATGCAAGAAAAATTGCGGCACACATTGAAAAATTTATAGGCGGATAAAACAAACATAGTAAACCTTGAGTTTCGATTGGGTGAGCTTCTCGATCCAATCGAATTCTTGAGCCATTCTGATGAATAGAAGGAGCAACTTTTTAGGTAGGATATAATTTTTTTGGTTTCTGCAGCAGTAGTGTGGAAGAACTTCTACCCCAATCCACCTTTTATAAAGTTCAAGTAGGTTGATACAAAATATTGAGATAACAATGAACCATTCAAATCATATTTGAATCTAGCATAATATGGACAGATTAAATGGGGATATTAACAAAATTGAAACCCGAATAAACATCAATCACAGATTAAAAATTTTAATATGAAATTAATCACTGAATGAAGATGAGAAGAAATTGTGGCTGGAATCTTGAAGATTTTATGGTTTAAAATTGAAAAATCTTCTAACCAAGACAGAAGATTAAGATCGGGAGAAGATTTTTGAGCGGTGATTTAGAATTTTTATTGAGGAAATCAGGAATGTCGAGTTGTTGAATTGGATGAGTTCAAATTTAACCAAAACACAGAACAAATGTTTGGCTAGAATTTTAAGATTTTATGGTTTGAAATTAAAAGATCTTCCAACCAAATCGGATGATTAAGATCGGGAGAAGATTTTGAGAGGAGGGTTTGAGTTTCGACTGAGGAAATCGGGAATATGGGATTGTTTTTCTTATATGAGTTATGATGTAACTAAAATACAGAACAAATACCAATTGAACTCTTTTAACCGAATATATAATGTTTTTTTTTCTTTTTTAATGAATAAAAAAATAGAGAAAATTGCCAGTCCTACATGGCAAATGGGAACTATCCTAGTTTCCTCTCTCTAAATTTTTTATTATTATATTATATAAATTTTTCACTATTTCATTCCTTTGGACTCTCTTTTTTTTAATAAACCTTAGAGTATACTATGTAATTTTCAATGAGATCTTTATTTATTTTAGCATCTATTGTGCATTCGTTTCACATTTAAGCTCGCTTGTATTTCTTTAAACAAACTAATTCTATTTTTTTGAAATGTAGTTTAGTAATAAGGAAACCATTTTCCTGGTCCGCTTTTCTCTTATGTAAAGAATAAAATATTTAATCAAAATTTAATTTCACATAAAAATAAAATATTTACTTAGGACAACAAATAACTTATTAATACTTATTTAATGTATTACAATTTAACTAAAGTGATTACAGATAGTTTTAATATTTTTACCATAAATCTGCTGTGAAATAATCAAACCAAAATAAATGATACATTCATGGGTTCAATTCCACCCATAATCATTTTATTGTCTATAATTCTGATACGAAGAGAAATAACAGCTGACAATAGTGGTGGTGGTGGATGAAGCTGGTGGAAAAAAAAGATCGAATGATAATGAATTATGGTAATATGTTTTAAATGTTATAATGGGAAAGAAAAAATGATTCCATATTTTATTTTAACTACTTATCATGGTAAAAGAGTATAAAGACAATCGACGCTTAAGTTAAATTAAAATACACAAAAATATATTAATAAAAATTATTTATTATCCAGAGTAATTATTTTATTTTTTGAAAGTGAATTTGGAATTAAATATTTTCATTCATAGAGAAGAAAAAAAAGGTCCAAAAAAAGTTATCCTTATTACTAAATTATATTAGAAAATAAATAAAT